TACCGAATGCAGCCCTACCCACCCAAATTTTAGAATATGAGTTTATATCAAAACGATATTTTTAAATATATGAGACAGTATTATAAGAATGGCCCTGGCGCCATCGTTTTTATTTTGAAATAAAAAAAAGTTACGAACTAGGGTTGCTCGAAAGTAAGGTGACTTTTAAGTTTTATCAAAAAGTAGGTATTTATTTATCAAAACTGTGCCCTTCAAAGTAATCCCCCCCCAGATATGTGCCAAGGTTTTTTCCCATCCTCGAAACACTTCAGGTATAGCCTTGAGTTCTTCCAGCGATTTTTTCTTTATCTCCTCTTATTTACCAAAACTGTGCCCTTCATAGTAATCCCTCCACCACCCAGATATGTACCAAGGTTTTTTCCCATCCTCGAAGCACTTCAGGTATAGCCTTGGGTTCTTAGAGCGATTTTTTCTTTATCTCCTCAATCGTTACAATCCCTCTTCCTTTCATGGGTTTCTTGAGTTTGGGAAACCCGAAAAAGTAGCAGTAGGCCTTGTCCGATGAATATGGTGGCTGAGGCATTATTGTGGTTTTGTTTTTGGTGAAAAAGTTAGACGCAAGCAACCTTTCCGGACGTTTTCTTCGTATTTCTTCTCTCCAACGACGCATTACTTCTTTATTGACCGTACAACCTTGTGGTAAGAACTCTTGATGTACTATACCACGCCAATGCCTACGTCTTCAACCACTTCTGTATTACTAATTCGACGATTTCTCATTCCATTCCATTTTTTACACAAAAAAGAGTAAACATGCAAACTGACTGAAACTGTCAACATGAGTACCAACATAACAAGAAAAAATATCGAAGATCGAATGTACATAGCCCGCCCAATTACAAGTTACCATATTTTTTGAACACACCTCGTATTTTGTGTCAATTAATAATTAAAGAGCATTATTCAGAATTATCTCTGAGCATTATTATAATGCAAAAAGGCATTAATAATAAGGGAGGGAAAAAATATCGGTATAACGATACCCGATATAGATAGATATAGAATGGATCGATATACAGGGTGTCCCTTAATTATTCGTACAGAGTACAGAATCATTGGGTAAAAATATTTAGATTTAGCCAAACTTACCTTGGCACAAAAGTTGATAATAACCAAGATACTCCTATAAAAATGACTGAATTAATTCACATCACTGCATTTTTTTATTAATAAGTTCCAACCACAGGGGTAATAATAACAATCGGGGCAGGTGGAATAATAACAGAATAGGGTAGCATTTTATAGGCTGATGCCAGAGCTAGCCAGTGTCGCAAGTGGCAAGTCGCGGCTGGGATGCTGTTTTTCTACTTACTTGCGAGAGACAAAAGGGCGTAAATTTTGATATTATATTAGTGCTAACATTAGTTCATATCTGCAGACATTATTGTAATGGCTTTAGATTATTGAATTACGGCTTTTGGAGTATTAATCTATAGGCCTTGATGGTATTTTTCTCATTGAGCAATGCTTAACTCATGTCCATTAGTTTATTGTAGCGACACTCTGACAATCGAAAAAAATATTAATTAATATTTATACATATTAAGTAATATTTTTTCGGAATTATCATAGTCACTTGATTGGGTAAATAGTATGAAAAAAACATTATCGTAATGATTTTGCATTAATATCAGGTACGATATTTTATATTTTATAAGTATTATTAATAAAAAAGTTGAAGAATTTTAAAAGAAATTCAAAGGAAAATTTAAAAATATGGTGTTTTATTTACAACCTTGAGATAATGAGTTGCGCTCTAGCGTTGACTCACGCTGTATAAAAGCATCCGAAATTTATTAACAATAATTCAGTAAGCTGCATTTTATCCACAGAATGATAATTTAATTACGGTCGATGAAGAACGCACGGCCGCAGAGGTCACACCGTTTCCAAGGGTCAACTGGGCAATTTAAATGAAATCACTATTTATTATACCGTTAAACGGTCACAGGGCGTATTCCAATTTTAATACATTTATAGAAATTGACTTCATTGACAGAACGCATCGTTACAATATCGACCTAACAAATTCAATAAACATGCACCTAGGATATCCAAAATTGCATCGATGGTTGAAGAATAGAATGGGCGCGCAATCAATCGAATTTATAATAATTTCTTTAAGGAAAGAATGGAGCAAAATTGAAACAAAACTTAGGATTACAAAAGATAAAACAAAAGAGTCACAAACAGTCAGGGAACTTCAAAACTTCACCGGGGCGTGATGAGTTTTATTGTTGCTAACTAGCATTACTGGCGGGGGAACTGCTACTTAATGAAAATAAATAAGAACTAAAAGTTCAGAATTTCACGAAATAATATATTTTGACATGACAATTGTTTCGACAACACCATGTATTTATCAAATGTGACATTTGATAAAAACAAACAAACGAAAACTTTTAGTTCTTAATTATTTTGATAAATCGATTTTCATCAAGTAAAGGCCACCTCAGTTCAATGCTACTTAAGGGTTCAAAATCGTTGATCTCAGCAGCAAAAACATCAGAATCAACGAAAAGAGATAACCACCAGCAAAAAAGAAGATATAACAAGCTCCCTAGATTCTGAGATATTACAATTACTTCCATTCCTGAGTTTGCTAACTTAGTTCGGTTATTTAAAAAAGATTTTAACAATTTAAATCCTATATCACGGATGCCATAACTACGCAAATAATTTGTTAAGCAGCTTAGTAGCATATATAACGCCAAACTCCCAATATAAATCCAAGAATATACAAGCTGTCTTTCAATTTTAAAGTATTGCTTGAGCATTTTTTACACGGTGTGCACATAATACCGTTGGTGAAACTCGGAAAAGTCTTAAATAAGACAAATGTTATTTAAGGTCTGCATTTAGGGGACGGACAAATTAACAAATGAGGCAAAAATTACAAAAATCTCGGAATGAATCTTTCGACAACGGTACGTTGGATTATTTATGGAAATGACGAGTTTGCCAAGCCAACTTCAACTTTAGCCCATTCAACATTTTCCACATATTCCGTACAGATTGATTCAATTTGCAATTAATAGATTAGATCGGATCTAGTTATACGATAATATGACTTTCAATGCCATGTAACACGTAATTCTTTTACATTGAAACATGCTAAGATGGGGTTTTATTTTGGGTTTTAGTTCGTTCTTGGTTTAAATCAACTTTTCGCTGCATTTGGAAACGAATTTCTGTGTTTGTCATTGAAACGAACTAAAAATAACAAAGCTACTGCTCAGGACTGAATTACTGAAGAATGCTTGAATGAACGACATTAGCAAATAGTAAGTCTCCATATCACAACGCAGCGATCCGCCAAAACAAGGTACTCAATATGGGAGTTCCACGATCATTGAGAATCCAAACGCAAGTTTAAAAAATTTTACTTCCCGTTCGCTTAAGTAACCTGTGGTTTAAGTTAACTTTATTTTTTGCTTCCTCAACAATCCAATACTGGGTGACTGGACAATATTGGAATGATCAATTTTAATAAATAGTAAGCTGTATACCAACCGCCTAGGATACTCAATATGGGACTTCCATGACAGGTGAGGATGAGGTTAACTTTGGCATAAGTACTTAAGTAACCCGTGATTTAAGTTAACTTTTTTCTTCGCTTCGCTAACAGTACAACACTTTATGAGGTAAATTTACCTGCTTCCACTCGTATACTAAGCAAGGCAAAACCTACCATTTACCTGGCTCTATTACGCCCCGGTGTCGTACAATTGACAGAGGTAACACCAATTACCGGATATCTACAGTAGTTTTCACTACAAAACAGGGTCGCAAGAAAAGAAGAAATTATCAATTGGCTGCGCAGTAAGCGGACTAAATAGCCAGAAAATGGTCTAAAATGTGTTGTTATAAATTGCCAAATATTACAAAACAAACTTGCCGTATGCTACAGAGAAAATAATTGCTGAAATGTATATTGTATATCAAATGTATATTACCCAAAAATTGGTGTGGGCTCAGGCAGCTCCCCGTACAGTTAGCACAGAAAATTGGATCATCAGACTAGAGATCAAGAGACTACATTTGATGTATATAATAGTACCACCACTTATTAATGTAGACGAAGGATCATTTTCTCGTAGTAGCAGTTCCAATTTTGTTTCTAATGATGAAGATGTCTTATCGTAAATACAAAGTAAATATGGTCGACTTGTATGTTTACTCTTGGGAAATTATATTTTATACAGTAGGACATATTTTTTAAATTTTCTGATTTTTATTTACCAAATTATCACATTTTTTTCATGTAGCTTGCTCATGGAACACCCTAATCCATTATTACATAGAAAATATATGAATCCATCTCTGAGTATGAGCGTACTAGTTTAATTAATAAATGCCAAGTGCAACTCATTCTGTCTCTCTTCGAAGAGATCGTGATCGTTAGTGGGGCCTGCCTTGCATTGACCAGATCGACATTTAGGGCGGAACTACATCTATTGAAGTAAAGTGGAAACAAGATGAACAATCTGTTTTATTCTGTCTGGAATTTTATTGCTGACTATGCCGTCACAAATCGTAACGACTAGAGTGGTTTCATGTCCCTCCAACTGCAAAACGACCGATGATTCAAAAATTGATCACTAGCAGGTTATTTTGTTAAAGTCGGCCTCTACAACGGGCCAGGAGGTCAAACGGTGTACCAACGAGTGCGCCGTGTATTACATTTATTTTTATCCTTCCAGATTTGAAGCGATTTATTATAACCCATTTCGACGCTGGTGTATAATGTGCGACCTTTACGTGCGGAATATGCCAGGAAATGAGTATTTTCCTTTATTAATGACATGGAAATCTGAGTTAATGCGTTAGCAAACGACCGGCCAATATAAACGCCTTTTGTATACACGTTATATATTTAAAATCTAAATATCGGAACGGAAATACGATTCGGCACAATGGCAAGTCCGTAGCCACGAGTATGCTGCATTCGGAAACAGACGATCGAAAAGTTTTCCTACCTTTCGGTTCTGTTGTAGGCGACATGGTTGACGTCGTTCTTCAAAACCGGCGAAGACATTACGAAATCCGCGTGATTGAAGGTTTGGTCATCCGGTAGGTCGACTTCCAGCGGCTTCGACTGCTGGAAAAACGTCACTCGTACTTTTTCTCGTTCGTCTCTGGAACAAAATGGCACTCGGTTACAATATTTAATCATTCATGTTGCATCGGAAGAGGGAAAAAAAAAACAAAAAGTATCTAAGACAAAAATCCAAGTTGGACAATTTAATAAAACCCACTAAAAAACAGTAAGTCATTTCAAACTTCTCGAATCATGAATTTTATAATAGATTTATCACTTTGACTAAGACTACATTCCCTGAGAAAGAGCCCGAATTGCTAAAAAAGGGTTTCAACTTTAATTTAAATTACTCAAACACCAATATAGAGTTAAATTGTTTATTGGGGTTGATTGCAAACTTGCTATTAACGGTCACAACGACAATATCGTAAACAAACGTGTATTAGCTAATTTAAGAAAATCTCAACTTAATAGTAGCAGCAAATTCAAGGATCTTTCACATATGTCTATGGTAAAATCAATTAAAAATAAGGCTTCCCAAAATAATGTACTATTTACAAGTGCAGATAAAGGAAAGACAGTCATTGCTATCGATTCTCTAGAATATATTACAAAAATCAAACAGTTTCTTAATCCAGATATATACCAAAGTATACAATATGATCCCACCGATTCATATCAAAAACATATCAAAACAGTAATTACCGATTCATCACTTTTTAATAACACCAACAATTGATGAATAAAACAAGGCTTGCAGGATAGTCTAATAGTTTGTTTAGACCAAAATTATTTTGAATTTAATGGTCAGTTTTATATTGCTAAAGAAGGTTTAATTATGGGAAACCCACTTAGTCCACTACCTGTAGAAATGTTCATGAACAATTTAGAAAATATCATACATAAACATCCTCTGAGTAAAGGATTTCTCTGGTGGTATAGATACGTGTCTGGATTTGCATTTTTTCTGTGCAATTTGTTTGAACAAGGGCTACAACACGTCCATTATCGATAAAATTATAAATAAAAAACAAATCCAGACAACAATAAACTCTATTTATCCGCAACCTAATACAGACCAGAACAATTTAAACAATTACATACATAGGAGACAGAGCGAAAAAGTTTCAAAACATTTGTCAAAATGTGGTTTAAAAATAGCTTTCAGAACTAACAACACAATAGGAAAATTTTTAAAAAACAATAAAACGAACTGTCCAAAAACTCAAAAATCAGGTGTCTACAGGTAGAAATGCGGATCATATCCTAAAATCTATATTGGACAAACAGGTAGATCCTTCAAGAAACGCATTAACGAACATAAAAGAGCGATTAAAAAAATGGTATATCAAATGACATTTGATAAAGACACGCTGTTGTCGAAACAATTGACATGTCATAATATATAATTTCGTGAAAATCTGAACTTTTAGTTCTTATTTATTTTGCTTAACGATCAATTACATATAAATACCTCCAATTATTAAAATAAAATTTTCACAATAACATTAATTAAGATTTTATGGTCATTTTTCGGTATACCTAGTAGCGGGTTGTAAATATTACATTTGGTAAAGACACGGTGTTGTCGAAACAATTGTCATGTGAATATATATATATATATATATATATATATATATATATATATATATATATATATATATATATATATATATATATATATATATATATGATGACACTATACTCCGGGATATCATCCGTTCGCTCGTTGAACTCCGACTGGAATCCTGCATCCGACTGGAATTCTGCAAATCCTGCATCCGACTGGAATCCTGCAGACGTTTCGCCAAACGCCAGTGTTCGAAGTGTTTTCGGAGCGCGAGCATTGAAGATGCCAAGTGAGATTTTGGCGAAACGTCTGCAGGATTCCAGTCGGAGTTCAACGAGCGAACGGATGATATCCCGGAATATAGTGTCATCACATTTTTCCATCCGTGAATCAATACGTGAGAATATATATATATATATATATATATATATATATATATATATATATATATATATATATATATATATATATATATATATATATATATATATATATATATTTTGAGCAAGCTACTTTTTAGTAATGCAATTGATGAACTTGTGGTTGATTTCTAACATTATAAAACCAACAGATGTAGCAGATAATAGAAAAAGATCGTGGCAAAGTCATTGGAACACGCAATCACGGTCTCGGAAATGGTAATTTACAAAAATATATTTATTTATTAAAACAACTTTTCAAACCAGTGAGAAATAATTGCCCCACAATTACGCCACCCAGTATGTAGATACATTTATGTAATTATGTAGGATCTGCAGGTACACAATTCTGTTTTCTTTTTCTTTCAAAGAAACTTCCACAGGCTACTGTAATACTATTTATAAATAGAATTCTTGTATATTGTTTAATTATATTACAATTATAATTTCTAATATTTATTTTTATTACATATCCCAATTTTTGTTCTATTCAGTTTACAACTGAATTTAGTTTTAGTTTGGATGTTTTAGTGCTGATTAAATTTTTTGAGATAGAAGAATTTACATTTACCATTATAGTCCAGCTTCTAGAGGTAATCTATTTAGGTCCTTTGCTTACTTTATACAGCTGCAAATAATGAAAAAAGAAATTTTTTTTCGAATATCTCTGGGGTTTTTTAAGATTATGAAAATAGTACAATTCACAATGCCAATACATAAAAGAATATTAACTGATGCTTGAAAGATGTGTATTAAATTGTATACAAACGTTTATTTTAGAAACGAAGCATTTGGGGCTTATTTTCTTAAAATTTGGACACTGCAATCCGAGACATGCTGCATAATTTCAGCGGTAAATAGCACATTATCATCTTTGAGAAATTATCCGTTTCCTAAGCTCGCCGTCACAATTGACAGAGATTAATTAAACTTAAAAGTTGAAAGCCGTTTGCAAAGGAAAATGCATAAAAGTTGCCCTAAGCATTAATTGTAAATAACTTGAGATAATTTCATTTTGCTTGTTATTTTTTAGACAATCCTTTATCTAAAAAAGAACTTAGTTAATTGCAGTTTTAGTTCATTTCCCGATAACAGATCAACAAAGTTATAGGCATAGTACTTGATCTGTATATAAACATCGATTTCCATTATTATTAACACTTATATTAAAGAAACAAGAATTTGACCAATCTTCACGACCGATGTCCTTTTAATCTTATAAGCAATTATGACTCGAGTCGAACCTAACTTTGCAATAATCGCATTCGCGTGCGGAAAAGTAGCACTTTCCACACGTGTTGGGTAAACTACTATAATTAAGGAAATTAAACTTTCAACGCAAGGAACATTTGTTTAGACAATTATAATTGCAAAATATCGAAATTTCAGGAGCAAGGAATTTTGTTGATCGTCCAAGTATATACTTACGAAATCCAAGTCTGAACTGAACTGTTTGCGTAGCTTTTTTTTACGGATGGTTTAAAGCAAGAGCCACCTTAAATTAATAGGTAGAGCTACAGTTGCTATTCGTCTGAGCTTTTCGTCGTCTGTGACTCACGTTCCAGTACTGCCATCACTATTTGTATTGTTAACTATTTTTTTCGAGCTTAAAATTAAGTATGATTCACATTTATTTGTTCAGTGAGTGACCAGGACTATAAGAGCACAATGAAATTTCTTCAGTATCTCCATTGAAAAGTTCTGATGGCCCAAAAATCACGTTATCAAATTAGCTTAAAACAGGAATAAACACACAGAAACCATAATACCCAAGGGACGCCAGAAGGGAATGTAAATGAAGATCATAAATGATTGTCAATGTTGGAAATGTTGAAACCTGTTTGTGATCTGACACTGGAACGAACCTAATAAGTAATAAATAATGACTTGCCAACTAATATACTTTTTGTTGGATCTAGTTGAAAATGGTTTTTATGATAGATAATTTATTTTTTCTACTCCCGTCTGTAAAATACCTAATTACGCACCGATCTAACGTGCGGGAAGCGTCGCTTTACCATGTCAGCTTCGTTTCCCACGAATCCGAGCCACTTCGAACATTTCCGGGATTTTGCCGCACGGGTTTGGGAGCAATCGAATGTTGTCGGAGATATTTCCCACCCTTTGAATTTTGACGTTTGCTAATTCTGACAGTCATGTCAGTGAATATATTCGTGTTTTGCGAAAATGTACCCAAAAACTGACGGTCGTAGAAAAAGTATAGTATGCAACGTGTTCGGTAAACTTTTTAACTCACTCGTTTATTAAACACTCGCGCCGCTCGTGTCAAATAAACTCGTGGGTCAAATGCCGTTTACCGCACTTGTTGCATAATATACTATTTGCTACTCCCGTCGGTAAAATACCTAATTACCCTCCGATCTAGCGTGCATGAAGCGTTACTTTACCACGTCAGCTTCCTTTCCCACGAATCCGAGCCACTTCGGACATTTCCGGAATTTTACCGCACGAATTTGGGAGCAATCGGATGTTTTCGGAGATAATTCCCACGCGTTGAGTTTTGACGTTTGTCAATTCTGACGGTGACGTCAGTGAATATATTCGTGTTGTCTTACGAAAATGTACCCAAAAACTAACGGTCGTAGAAAAAGTATAGTATGCAACACATTCGGTAAGTTTTTAATTCACTCGTTTATTAAACACTCGCTCCGTTCGTGTCAAATAAAATCGTGAGTCAAATGCCGTTCACCGCACTTGTTGCATAATAAGAGGCTATCGATTTGGTCTGATTTTCTTTTGTTCATTAGACGGCGTGTGAATTTTGACGTTTTAGCTGAATTGTTTTTTTTTCTCTATAGTTCGCTTGGGGTTATTTGCAAATTGCAATTAGATGCTGATTAAAGTCGGCAGCAACTATGGATTATAACTTTAATTATATTAATTATATTACCATTATTTCTTACTTAAGTAATTGTCTATCTCTTTCAATAAAGTACTCCAAAAAATCGAAGCACGAACACGAAGTACGTAAACTCCGAGGTGTATTTTTGAAATCTTTACAATTATCTATTATCAGTGTAGTTAGAATAATTACGTAAGAATTAATCATTCTTCTGTCAAGGCGATTGTTTAACAGTTGTTTGACAT